TACTCCACCGTGCCTCCCACTATGCAATGACGTCACTTAAATATGCATAAAAATCATATATTATTCTCGACTAACTGCTTTCATTTTCTCTTTGTTCCTCTCTCTTTTTTTAATGTATTTGTATAAATTATACAATATATACTTTGGTTAACATAGATTTTAAAGTATAAACGAATTTTGTGCTTACTATAGACTAATTTTTTTTACTAATGTTCATTCAATACAAGGCCCAAGAACCACTCAAGAGAGAGGGTTACAGTAAAGAGTTGTATTAGCATAAGAAAGGGAAAGAAGTGAAGTGCTTGGGTCTATACAGGAAAGATAACAAATCTCACTCTAGACATGAATAGATCAAGATTTAGCTACTGAATAACATTTCAGAGGCCAGTCGGAGACTTTAGAAGTATAGTATGGAAGTAGACTTCAGAAGGAACCGGAAACTCAATCCTCAGCAGGAATCTCATGTTCAAAAGAAGTGGAGGAGTGTGAACCGGACGATAGGTAAGAATATATGAAGATCTATGGTTGTCAATGTTCTGAATAAACAATAAAAAAGATTCACTTTGTCGCCTTTTGTGACAGCCAGTTTAGCCCCTTACTTCAAAACCGTGAAGAAAGCAACGTGATACCTCTCGACTGTCTTTCCTAAAAAGTCACTCCATGTAGTCTTGTCTTGCTTTATATTAGAATAGGCATCCAATTCTTATGTGTTGATACCATTAAGAGTCAGGGGTAGTTTCGTCCAACTCTGCAAGATGCTACAAAATCAAATCATTAACGTAAGAACTTGAGTCATGTTCCAAAATCGCCTCGTCAGATCTTTGAGATGTTCCGGAAAGGGATATATTTGTTCGAAATAGCAAAGTGGTTATTGTCTACTGTAACCGGGTAGGACAATCTAGCAGGTAACCGTAATGGACTGGTCCTCGTCGTACTGGTAGGCAATAGGCGTAGGCAATAGGCGTCGACAATAGGCGTCGTCCCTGTACCTCGACATCAGTCTGTATTTATGGCTGACACCAGCCAATCATATTACTGTGAGGGGGAACCCAGGTGTATGCATATTCATTACATCATATATGGATATCAAATATGGCTTTCAGCTCGTTCAGAAACATCTAAACAATCATTTATATACAACTGTTTTCTCGAGCAATGAATGAAGACAGCTCCAGACGAATGACCACTATAGACCTTAAAAAGGTCATCCTTTATCAGATTCTACAGATTGGCGCTACAGAAGCACAAATAATTTACCAAATAACAGAAACGACATCCCTGGAAGACTTCCAACAGCAGCAATAACTAAAATAGATAATACATACAACTAAAATGAAAAATAATATAATAATGAAGATATTATCTTTCCGCACTACCTTAAAGAAAAGGTTAGAAAGTAAACTCCTATTATTACGAGAAAGAGCGATAAGAGACCGTGAACATGAAAGGTTTATTTTCCTGAAAAAAAACTGTTTTAAGAGAAAGATTGTATAAATTTCAGACGACAGAATCGCTAACACTTCGGTTAATGAATGCCGAAAGTTTACTATACGGAAATAGTTATGTTCCTCGTTACCATTGCTATTTATCGTTCTACTACGGGCCTACGGGAAGATATTTATTAAGTTTTCCTAAATAAAGAACAATGTTTTCAACCTTTTTTTTATCTCACGTCACATTTGAACCTCTAGATAAACATCCACAGAACACTCGGCATGAATTTGGTCTGCCGGAGATTCTTCTGTGTTCCTGGATAAGCCATATTTAAGATTCCAGATTGGGGTGGGGGCAGGACTTAAATTCTATGTCTATATCGAGGGCATATTGCGCAAACGGGAAATGGTGAATCTTGGGCTTTTTCCCAGCATGAGGACTACAAACCGGAGTTTCTACATCTGGGGAAGATATATTACTATAGAAAAACGGCGCCACAGTCTTCTAAGCTGCACCACGTGCTGGAAGAGGCTTAGGAAAATATGACTGCTTGGTTTCTCTCACGGAAACTGACAGGACAGCCACTTTCGTCACTATGCAGTGATGTCATTAAGCGGCCACCACGTGACACAGATAATAAACGGAAAAAATACGCAAAGTGTATCAAGGGAGATAATAGACTTTGGCATCCCTATAAATGTTTTAGGCAAAAGGATCAGCTTCTCATCGATCAGCGTCGGTTCTCAAAGTTTTGACACAAATATGAGCATCTCGAGGAACCGAAGTTTCCGGAAAGGGAGCCTTAAGAGCTTTTCACTCAGCTGCGGAGCAAATGGAAAACTGGGTTCCGTTGGAAGCATTGATTGATTTGTTTGGGATTTTACATCTTATCAACCTGTGCGGGTTATTTAAAGCCGGAATATATTGTTGATTGCAAAAATAGTTCCTTTTTACTGAGTGAATATTGTATTAATAATACAATATAATAACAATGTTTTTTTCTACATACAAGCCCTTCTATTTATCCCATTATTGTTAGCATTCATGAGAGGGACATGAAGACCACACAACAAGCGGAAGTCACTAGGAATCAGTGCAACTATAGAGCTTGGCTCTGAAACTAGAAAGTGAACAAAGTTGATATCAATAAAAAAATATCCATGAAAAATTCACCCAGGGAAAAGAAATTATGAAATTTGTCGAATTGCACAAATTCACCCAGGTAAAAGAAATTATTAAATTTGTCGAACTGCACAAATTCACCCAGGGAAAAGAAATTATTAAATTTGTCGAATTGCACAAATTCACCTAGAGAAAAGAAATTATTAAATTTGTCGAATTGCACAATATTTTGATGCATTTTTTTGTAGAAATACCAGATTTGTCTTTGACTGGTATATTGCTGCTTGCTCTCTGCGTGTTTTTGTTGATATACAGGTATTGGAATTTTGATTTCTGCATATATGATATGGAGCTTCATTTATCAATAAGTAAAATATTTTATGTTTGTTACCATATGTACCAGTGTTCACTGATACCAGTTGATTTCTCTGTAGCAATTTTGAATTTATCTACATGTACAAATCTTTCTCCCTGAAAAACAACTAAAACAATTTTCAATAAATACTTGATAAAATGTACTAAAATTCTTCTTTAAAAAAAAATGTCTTGGTAATTAAACCTTACCTCATTTCTATTTTTTAAAAAAAAAAGTACTTTTCCAAAAGATATTTGCTCGTAAGTGAATGTAACTAACCCAACTGCAATTCAAACTTGGCTCTCTGATTTCTCATACCGAACCGATACCAATAACACCATCCGCGCATCCACTGTCAGGAATGAATGGCCAGAATCATACCAGAATCGGTGTTACAAGATCTACACTGTTTGTGGGAGAATAAAAAAAAAAAAACATCGATTTCTTGAACGGAATATAACAGGGGATGAAAAAGGAATGGATCCTATACGACAGTCGGGAAAAACCCGCCAAGTGGGTCAATCGATATTAAAACTCGAACGCACTTCCGGAAACCGGAAACACGACCTTCGTTTCAAACAAAACGTTACAGCAACTAAAAAAAAAAAATGTAAAATTACTACCTCCACAAACAATGATTTCTAGAATACGGATATTTAAAAACAGGAAAAAAAAAACAATCCTCAATACGTTTCAAAGTGTATTAAATCAAGAAATAAGAACAAACATTATTTCTCACTTGCATATATCGATGTCAACTTAGGAAGATGAGTCTAGCAGATGATTAACACCGTATATCAAGTTCTATTAGCACAAGCTGGTCATGTTAATAATCTCTAACTGAATTAAGATAAGAAGATACCCTGATATAGGCGTCCTGGGTATGACGTTAAACTACATCTAGCAGCAAGGACTCTGGTCGGGAGATATAGAGGAGCGTGGTCTCTCGTCTTAATTGACGTTGTTCCCAGGTCCATCCTAACCTGGGATGGTAGCACCTGTTAGGGTCACAGATATGGGTAAATAGTTAACCCCAAAACTGCGGTCAAAACCCTATGAGTATATAAAAACATTTTTATATTTAAAAAAACAGTAATACATATAATATATATATATATATATATATATATATATATATATATATATATATATATATTTTACCAGCAATACATCTGACTAAAAATTCGTTAATGAAACCTTATCTACAAACTAATTTCTTTAAAAGGATATACGTTCTATTCATACAAACCTATCCTAAAAATCTTGCCGATATTAAATAACCCATTGAGGTTGATTTGCTGTAAAATAAAATAAACAAAACCAAAACAAACCAAAACTCGATATGGTAGCTCGACTAGCAGTCCATTGTTATATAATACCATCGTTTCACATTGAATGACTAACAATGATCACTTGACATCGACGCTCTGCGGATTTTGCTCTTGCGCTCGCTTCAATGACGGGGGAGACGGGCCGCAGCAAACGAGGAGAGCGCGGCGGTTGCCCTTGCCGCTTCTGCCGCCACTGTGAAGGCGATCAGCCGCACCTCTCTCCGCTCAACATCATATGGCGCGGATGCTTCGGCGCGACACCCACTTCCGCACGGCCGGCAGCGAACGCACTTCCTCTTCGATCCGTCGTCGCGACCCGTTCCCGGCGTGCAGGTCGATGCGCGGTCCGTGGGCGGAAGGCGCACTCTAAACTCCACCTTCCCCTCCGTGTGTCGGCGGAGGCGTCTTCTGTCGGGCCCGCGTGCGTACAGCCCCCTTCTGCCGGAAACGGAGGAAACGAAGACGCAACCCATTATAGGTGGCGAACAGATTTCTTCTCGTTGAACGATCCGTGTGGCGTGCTTTGATTCGTTTTCTCCGGCTTATCAATCTTTTGCAGGTTATTTAAAGCCAGAAAATATTTTTAGGTTGTAATTTTTTTCTTTTTTGAGGTAACAGTGTTTTAAAGATACGCGTCTTACTAATTAACCCATAGCTAGGGGAGAAGACATGGATACATACCTTTCCCAATGGCATTTGCCGGAAACACCGATCAAAAATTCCGAACTATTATCCGTTGCACCACCCGCACATCCTAGCTTACAGCACCTGGTATTCCCAAGCAGTCACCCATCTATGTACTACCTCGGCTCGGCGTTGATTGACTGCGGTGATCGTACGGTGACAGGTGTTTTAACACGTGGTCGTAAGCTTATTACTCAATTTGTTTAACTAAAGGGTGTTTCATTAAGACGGATTATATATAAGGGTGTTTCATTAAGACGGATCAAAGTCAACAGTAAATAAATCAGTGTTATTGGCGAAAATTTATTTATTTTTCTATCGGATCATCTTATTTAAGTCATGGCAATTATGTGTGAAAAATAATATCGTCAAAATGTTCGCCAAATCTGAAAGAAAAAGAAAAAAATCATTAGACGCTTAAACTTAATTCACATTTAAAATCGGTCTAAGTTATTGGAGTAATGGATAACGGCTCGGATTGAGGAATCGGAGAGCCGAGTTCGAATTACAGTCGAATCCATTACATTCTAATACCCGTGCTAATACCCTGGGGAAAGGTATGAATCTTCTTCTCCTCCCCAGACCGGGTTGTATAACCTTCGATGCCAACTGGTCTGCCGCAGAAAGAAATGACAACCTACTGCGGGAAAAAATCTGCCTCGTCAGTGATGTATCGAAAAATACATGATCGCCTAAGCGTGTATCCCGCATGGCACATAACTGACTGACTACAGAATAAGAATGCGTTTTGTCGTGGTGTGAATGTAAGCAAGCGTGTAATGAATTCAATAACTAATAAGTGTCAGAAGACAGTATGCATGGTTGCCAGCCAAAAAAAAAAAAAAAATACAGCCCATGGGGTTAACTACACATTGGGGATATTAAAATCAAGCAAGTAAAGAAAATTAGCGCTTTATAGAGTGTAAAAGAGAATAGAAAATTTAACACATATGTTAGAGGATTCTAACGGTCTACTTCAGGACACATTCAATATGCAAAGACCTCAAGCAATTTCAGAAGAGCGGAAATCAAGCAGAAAAAGAAAATTCACAGAGCCTTTGATGATTAATCCGAAGAGGAAAAAATATTAAAGACCCCTGCGAGGTAAAAGCTTGGGAGGGGGGTGCCATGGGTCCTTACCTATAACTACAGAATGAACTCTTCCAAACACTATGTATACTACGCCTCTCAAGAAGGTCGAATCGAATCGAGTCGAGCCGATAGTAGTTCACTCCAAACCAGACTGACAGTCATACTAACACCTTCCACATCTTGTATTATTATTTCATGTAATATACCTTCGTTATTTCTACTCTTGTGTTCGTGTTGTTCTTCCTTGGTCCTAGCCTGGACCATAACAACATAAATCCAAAAGTCGTAGATGTACAGCGAAAGATGTCTTCCAGAAAATGAAAGAAAGGAGACAAAATATATGATTTTAGTTGTCAGCAAGAAGAAGAGCCCAAGATGCGACTTACGAAAAAGAGATGTCAACATCAGCAAGTACAAAAATGTAATATTTCGAGAATGTTTTAACAGATAACGGATATTGTGAAACTGAATCCTGATGATGGATTGGAATAGCAAAAGATGCCTTCCAACATCTAAGCAAAATATTAAGAAATTCTTCAATTAAAACATTCATATTGCTATACAAAAAATGTAACAGGAAAATTAAAAAACATCTACATATGCAGACAATATATATATACATATGCATACATATATATACATATATATATATATATATATATATATATGTTTTATATATATATATATATATATATATATATATATATATATACGTATGTGTTTTTGGGTCATATAAATAGTAGGTCTTTTCTAGATTAAATATTAGTTAGATTTTATATGTTTATGTTAAATTTGTAACCTGTAGGTGACATTACTTGCTTTGTCAAATTTTCTTGATTACACATCGGTTCTCATTTATAAAATTATTTTAGTTTCCCCCCCCCACTCCCTTTTCTCTCTCATCTTTTGAATTTTAAGTTTAGATCATATCGTTTTTTATTGTGCGTAGTGTCATCACAAATGTATACACACGTTTCCGGTGTCTATTTTATAATTTTAATTTGGGTCAGCGATTCGGTAGCGAATTATGCATCGAAAAATAGTTCATATTCATCTCACTCATTTAAACCGTTATTTAACTCCTCCCTTTAAAACTTCCCTCTGTTAAATTTTAATTCCCACCTTCACTTTTAGGCCTTCCTGTTCTTCTTTCTTCTGTTACACCTCTCTCTGAAGCCTTCATACCTTTCCCACTTGTTTCCCACTCTCACGCATACACTCTCACTGAAATATTGCTTTTTATACCCGGAGTTATATTTTTCAATCTCTTTTTGAATTTTTAGGTGTGATGAATTAGATCGGGATTACGAGTCCAATGTAATAAATTATAACCATGGAATATTAGTGTTTCAGCCATTTTATTATATTATTACTCTGTCCTGGACATTGAGTTCTACCTGGATTCTATCCTCTTAGAAATTTATTTATATAGGTTTATATATATATTGTTGTGGATGCCGAGATGAATTCGGTCTCCAAGGCATGACAAACGCAATAATTAAATATAAGAAATAAAATGTATTTACACAATCATACAAAGAGTAATACTGTTAGTAAATCCAGGAACGAGGTTAGTAGCAAATACAGATATATATATATATATACAGTCTCGAAGTGGGACTTCCTTAGAGTCTACGTGCTTGTAACTGAATTCTACAAGAGGTTACCTCACTCTATCTCCGTTCGTATATTCTCCCTCTCTCCGTATATCCCCTCTCACTGACTGTCTAACTCTGGGTATTTAACGGCAGCACTCTGGTAGAGTCCACTTATATGAAAAAGGGGTGGACCCCATAACACCCCCCTTCTTAGATCCCTTTTTTGGGAGGGGGGCATATTTTTAATTGCCGATGCCCTCTCTGGGTCCGGTTTCCTGCCATTTTCATTTATTATCTGACCTAAATATTTAATTTCATTTAGGAAAAAATCACACTTTTCTCCTTTTACTTTGAAGCTGAAGTCCTGAAGTCTTCTGAAAACTTCCTTTATGTGTGATGTGAGTTCTTCAACATTGTCGCTCTTAATTAGAATATCATCTAGATAAGCGGTCGCGAAATTCTGGCCCGTGAGCATTGTGTCCATTGTTTGCTGAAAAATTGCAGGTGCAACTTTTATTCCGAACGGTAGTCTGTTGAATTTGTACAACCCTTTGTGCGTATTAATGCAAAGGATTTTCGTACTCTCTTCTTGTACTGGGATTTGTAGATAATCCTCACTAAGATCTATTTTTGAAAATATCTTACCGCCGTTGAGCTTTGTAAATATCTCCTCTGGGCTTGGTAGTGGGTAATGGTGGTCTTTTATTACCTTGTTGAGTCCCGTCGAAAAATCTGCGCATACGCGAATTTCTCCTGACTTCTTTTTGACATAAACCACCGGCGCTGCCCACTCAGTAAACTCTGTTTTTGATAGAATCCCAGTTTGTTCAAGTCTCTCCAATTCTTTGTCTATTTTTTCTATAGTAGCAAACGGTACATTTCGCTTCTTTTTAAAAATTGGTTGGACGTTTTCTTTTAATTCTATTTTGGCCTTAAATTTGTTGCATCGTCCCAACCCGCTTGAAAATACCTCAGGAAATTGATTATATAATTCCTCGTTCAATTTTATAGTAGCTGATGGTCCAACCTCTAACTTTTTGCAAAAAGAGTTGATAGGTAGGTCCCAAACGTTGAACTTCTGCATCCAGTCGATACCTACTAGATTTTCAGTATCTTTCATGACGTATATCTTAAGTTTTTTTGTTTTGCCGTGAAATTTAACATTCACGATTATTTCTCCCTCATATTTTATTCGTTTGCCTGTAACCGACTTGGCAATTTGTTGAGTGTGTAACATATTAGGTCTGTTGAGTTTTTTCAATGTCTGTAAGTTGATTATCGTGAGGTCGGAACCCGAATCCAGTTGTAATTTAATCTTTTTATTTAAAATTTCCAGTTCCACATATTTCCTTACATTGGTGTTGTCATCGTTATGAATCCTTGTAGCTCTTATTCTATTAGTATCTTTTCTATTTCTACATTGGTCTGCCTTGTGGCCCTTTTTTTCCACATTCAAGACAGTTTTTATATCTGAAGCGGCAATCCTTGTTGCAATGTAATCCTCCACATCGATAACATGCTGATGGAGGGGGCTTATATTTGTTTCGATATTCGTCATAATTTGTCCTGTATGTTGTACTTTTTCTCTTATCATAAAATTTTCTTTTTCTTTCCGAGGAGAGTGAGAATCTTTTTTCATTGTCGTAAAATTTTAGTTTTCTTTCCGAGGAGGGTGAAGAACGTAGACTTTTGTTTAACTTACGTGTATGAGAAACAGCTGAATCATCAATGTCATCATTTGCGTCTTTCTTCATGCTTAAACATCTCTGGCAATCTTCCGATAATTGCTGTAATGTTAGACCCGGTTCATTTTGTAATTTTGCAAGCATTCTTCTGCGCATTTCGCTATCTTTTGTAGAAACTAGCCCTTGAACAAAGATGAGACATTTGAAATTGTCTGGGGTTAATTCCGCTAGTTTGAAGTCGTCACAATATTTATTTACGATTGCGGCAAACATGGAATAATCCTCATTATCGCCCTTTACTATGGAAGAGTGATGTTTTGGGGCTGAAGAGTTCTTTAAGACATGTCACTGCTTCGTCAAATGTTAATTCGTTCGTCTTTTTTGGCAAGATATAATCCACGAACTTTGTATATTCTTCAGTTCCTACTTTTCTAAGCAATAGACGTAGCTTTTTTGTTTCTGTCCAAATTTGACAGTCTATATTAAAGATGTCTTCATGTCTTCTGAAGTAATCTCCAAAATTTTTGTCCTCATCTAGAGAATATTTGAAAATCTCTATGGTATTCCACACTGCGTCTTGCGAAAATGTTGCTTCTTTTTCAATATTAGTTTCAATATTAGTTTCTGGAGCTCTGTTTGGCTATCTTGATTTTCCTTTTGCGTTTGTAATAATTGCTTTTGCCATTTTTCTTGTAGCTGTAACTGTTGATCATTTTGGTATTTTTGCATTTGTAATTGTTGCTCATTTTGGTGTTTTATCAGTTCTACCAAAAATTTTTAACATCTTCCATGATAACTCA